TATCTCACAGTGTTGGTTCCTAATAAACGCTTAAATGATTAAAGCAAAATGCCATGCCTTAAATACTACTCTGATTTTAGCAAATACATTTTTATGCTTATCTATTTAGAAGAAAGGGTGTTATGTGAATGGAGTCTTTTTAATAATTGACACCTAAGGTCAAGTTAACCTTGAGTTTACCTGGAAAGGGTTGAAGTCACACCTCGACGCATTTATTATGCAGTCAGTAATGTATTGGTGGGAATGTCTGCCTGACAAATTATTGTTGTGTTTTGTAGCATAGCACAAACTCTTTATAATGTGAGTTAACTTACCTACTATATAGGCACTTGTACATAACAGCTTAACTTTGAAACAATGGTCCAGTAAGCTTTGTATTGCCTTAATGAGGATGTTAGCTTACCTTAACACAATCTTTAATCTTTCACTTTACTACTGTTTTTTTTTTTGTTGTTGTTGTTTCTGTTAATGTTTTGCCTCAGCTTTACTTGACCAGTGATCTACAAGGTTTCCAAAAGGTATGTCAATCTTTATTACACAATGTTCACTGAAAATCCATGAGGCAAAAAAACATCTGCTGCAATAAATACTGTGTTTTTATTTGAAGTATGCAAAGAAGTCTGGCTTCCAAGAAGTGTATCTGGATGACAGCACAAGCTTCCTGTCATGGTGGAAGATAGTGCACTTTGACCCCCAAGAAAGACTTGAATATGAGGGTCAGCCAGTTCCTGTGGGTTATTAACTGCTTTCTTATGTTAGATAAATGTACCTCTTAAGGCTGCCTGTAAAATATTAGATTAACTGTATCTGCCATGCTTGTTTTACAGGCTAACGAGAAGGTGCTGATCATACACTGCAAGACGAACCAAGCCCTTGCTGTTCTGGGGGATCAGCTTCTGTGGTATTTTTCTAACCTTTATTATAAACTCCAACTAAAGATTGTTTAGTTATTTTAAGGACTGTGATTTTACAGTGCATTGTTATTTCTACAAATAATATTTCAACTAAAGTAGCACCATTTTACACACACACACATAAAAAAGAAAGATTCCAGACTTTGAGCTCTTTTGCGTCCTATGACAGTCAGTGCGCTCAGCCCAACTCCAATGGCCTCTATGGCGACATCTAGAGGGCATGCAGTAGAAAACAGCGAAGTTAAACTATTTACATATTTTTATTAGTAGAGGGTATTAAAAATGTGATAAATAAAGCATTTATTATTCTGGCCTACGGTGAAGAATCTTGACCTTGAAAATTATGGCTCCAAACTTAAGTCACCTTTATAAATTCTCAAGATAATGATAAAATGACCTTTTACTTGTCTGTTATATTATACCCATCTCCACACGCTGATCGACAAAAGGGTTCCTAACGACTTTGGCCCCGTCCACACGAAGTCAAAACGAACACGAAACGCTGATATTTTCCAAAACGTTTGCCGTAAAGACGGAGACGTAAAATAAATGTGATCGTCCACACGAATGCATGAAAACGCTGCAAAATGTATGCCAGGCCTGTAAGTGGCGCTGTGGTGCCAAAGCAAAAATAAGCGACGAAATGTTGGGCATGGCACTAATATTTATACATGGTTGCCCTGCGGGTCCATTTTCGTGGTTAAGTCAAATTCAGGTGCTGAACTATGTCGTCGATATTGCTCTGTTCTTCCTGGAGATATTCCAGAAGAAGAAGATTCTGTTGTAAGCCCGACAGCAGGGTGAGTAGCATTAGCAGCAACGGCGCCATTGTTGTTGTGATATGTCGCGCATGCGTGTTTAGAGGTGACGCTATGACGCATGCGTGTAAAAAAAAATATGCGGTTAGAGCGTAAAGATGGAAACGCGAAAACGGCGTTTCGAAATCTTCCCACTCTGAAGGCTGAATAAAAAAAAAGATTGTTTACAGACCCCCTGAAAAATTTGTGCGTTTAGGCCAGGGTTCGTCTTCGTGTGGACGGGGCCTTTGATGTGTGAGCTGTCAGACCAATCAGTACCAAACCAGTCAATCCTGGGCCAAGCCATTCCAGTGGTTATCTGTATGACTGGCCAGTTTTTAAAGCCCCCTGAAAGTGCAGCTGATGAGGCCAATGTGAAATATGCAGGCTCAATGCACACCGGAGAGAGCCATTAAAGCATCCTCTTATCTTGGGACATCATTTTTTGTAAATAGTTTAACTGAGTTGTTTTCTAGTTTTGCTGAGTAAACTAGAAAACAAAGCCTTCAATAGTATACACCAAGTCTCAAGCCCTTTGGGGTCACTGTGATCGTGCTAGTGCAACAAAAGATTGATTTATTTTAAAGCTTTTACACACCTAACCCTGAACCATTAAAACAAAAACAATAAATGTTTAAGAAACTTTCAGGAGCAGAAATTTGGTTTGGATTTTAAATTCTGTGATGTTCTTAAACAAGCCAATAATGTTATTGCGTAAGCTTTGGTACAGAGGAACTATGATTTTACAAATGCTGTCATACTGTAATGGTGTTCTCTGAAATTACTGATAGGTAAATACAGAATGTGATTTATATAAGGGTGTTTTACTGTGATTCCAGCAATTCCCAATAGGCAGTTTCTTTCAAAGATGGGTTCAGAGGAAATTTGTTCCACTGCCTTTGTTTAAAAGCTAGCTTTTATGAAGAGATTGGCCCTTGTGTGGCTTTTATGTTGCACCCAACGGTAAAAAACTTTTTTTTCTTACAGGACTGCTCATGGGAAAGAATATGAAGTGACAACTCACACATTCCTTGACTCCCACAAAGCTGAACAGGACGCCAATCACTGGATCATGTGCACTTCTGATCCTGCAGGGGATGGACTTGTATTACTGCGGAGCTTCCAACCATTAGCTAAAGACCAGCAGCTCACCTAGACATATCCAGGCTTTCCATTTACTACCTCCAATTATTAATGTACCAAACACCATTGAAAATACCTGACATTTTCACAATAAAAGATATCTGTTCTTACTAGATTATGGCTTTTATTCTATTCACAAGGAGCTTCTTCGCTGCTTTATATTTACTTTGACAGGGTTATATGATACATCCAAAAACAAACCATCACTATTAAACAGAATCTGGATTAGAAAAAAAATACTAAAAAGCTAAAAGTGGTCCGCAATCCTATTTTCAGGTAAAAATAGGTGCCCCCCTCGGGTTATTGGTGTCTCAAGCACCTGGTCACTACCGTGCAGTGGTTTAAGCTACACAGAGGTGGAAAGAGAATAAAAAAAAAATGTACTAAAAGTAAATTTTACTGGATACCAGTAAAGCTACCAGATAAAATGTTACTGAGATAAAAGGGAAAAAGCTCTTTTTTTGTGACCAGAAGAAAGTCCCTCTTGTTAATTTCATCAAGAAAAATAGGAGATATTCATCTTAAACTGTTTAGAATTAAAGCTCCGGTATAAAGGAAATTGCATCACACAAATAAGACATGTCGCTATTTTAATATAGCGCTGATTCACATCATGTCATCAGTAGGCAGTTGACGTGTGACATAAATCTTCTGGAGGCATTTACCATGTATAATAAATATATATATATATATATATATTTATTTATTTATTTTTTGAGTTTTTGCGGCACTAGTGGCTCACTTTTTTGACAGTAGGCTGTCATTAAAGGGGGTATGAGAGAGGGGGAGAGACATGCTGCAAAGGACCACAGCTCGGATTCGTACCCGGGTCGGACGCCTCAAGGACTAAGGCCTCCGTACATGGGTGGTGCATGCCAACTGCTGCTCCACCTGCACACCCATAACAAATATTTCTAATCATTTCTGATTTATTAGATTTTTACATAGGACACACTCTTAAACCATAACCAGATTCTGTCCAACAACTGAAACCAACATGCACTAATCAGTTATGCACCTGGTTAGTGATAAGGATGCTTTCTTTAAGCGGCTTTCATGCAGCAAAAACTGTCCTTATAGAAAATGAGCAGTTCCTGATTCACTGTCAAAGAAAATGAGCATGGTTTTTTATTAAAATAAGAAGCATGTTTTTTCTCACCTCTTCTGAATAGGTTTAATGTTGGGTTTTTAAATGCTGTTTAAATGTTGGCTCACTCAGATTTGTGCTTCCAGTCAGGCTTATTTCCAAAGCTGTTTAGTATTCGCAATCCGCAAAACACAATAAAATTTGTGGAGTTTTGGATTAGTAATCAGGGCATAGACATTGGAATCCAGAGGTTCTGAGTTTGAGCCCCACTGCCACAGACTGCCACTCTGGGTCCCCGAGCAAAAACCCTTAACCCCACAATGCTCCCTGTGCAAGCACCATGGCAGCCCACTCTTCCCCAAGGGCAGGCTCGGACTGGGAATGATTTTCGGCCCTGGCATTTTTTCATCCACACCTGCCCCCTTATGGACCACAGTCAAAACCATGCGTCTCAAATGTGAAACACAAGCCTGAGTGTTGTAATAACACCAACATAAAACAATACATATTGAGGCAGACAGGCAGTTCTTCAAGAATGAAAACATGAAAGCTCAGCGGTGTGTAAGCATTCACTGCAAGTCTAGGTGGCATCTGGGCAATGAAATGGAATAATGTAAACACCATGGTTCCATCAGTCAACAGACCGAAATCAACGAAACCAGCAGTACTGATACTACTACTATGAACAGTAGTAGTGGTGATGTGGTGAATTGTGAACCTTGACACACAGCCCTCGCAGTCAATTGAATGCCTTCCAAATCCTTCACACTAGGTTACAAGCATCACATGACTCTTGCATCTTGCATTGAAATACGTTTACAGTGATATTTCACACTCTCCATCAAGAAAAAAGCAAAACATGATGAGCACGGACACACAGTTTTTATTATACCATTTTTATAGAAGAATATAACTATAAAAAGTGTCAACATAGCACAATAGACCCCACATTTTAGTGCAAATGAGCCGAACCTACTTCAGCAAACCCACTTAAGCAAAACCTGTGACCCCAAGTCAACATGTCACGGTGGGCAAAATTGAAAACCAAACGGCCTACCATGACGCCGTCTTGATCGCGGGACTTTTTGCAAATTGCACTTTATTCCAGATTCTACTTTAATCCACACGTTTTAACACACCTGGACAGCACTGCTAGTAAGCAATGGATTATGTTTGCATTGCTCATTCACATTAGAATGATTAGTCTTTAGATGCAAAACTCCATCATGCACCGCAATATATTTTTGCATTATATTCAAACAAAAAATTTGTTTCATAGTTTGGTTTAAAGACAGCATTTTAGTTTTTTGCAAGGATTTTACAGTTTGAAGAAATAGAAAATTACACCATATGCCAACCATCACAAGGATGTGCATGACAAGGAAGGCTATATACTGCATGCATCATTTAGGTAGTTAACATTGTATTACTTCCTGAGCTCCTTGATTTTTTTTTACTGTCACAAGTGGGTGTTTCGGCCGGAGAGTAAGTTTAAGGACCGGTATAATTAAAGGAGGGCCGGACTTCGCACACTGAAATTAGGACAGTCCCACCAGAGATTACCAGTCTGAGCCTGCCCAAGGGGATGGGTTAAATGCAGAGAATTAATTTCGTTGCTCCGTACATGTGACAGTGTAATGACAATAAAACAGCTGTAAAAAAAACTGAAATAAAAAAAATGTATTCGACAAGCCAGCTTTACATATAGCTCCCCTCATGTCTGATCCATCAACCACCATCAAAAGTTGACGTGCAGCAATCCTCACAGGATTAATGCTTTCATCATTATGATTGCTAAATTATGATTTCTCATGCCTACTTTTTTTTTTTCTCACTGCTTGGTGCCAGAGGCATGTCGCGTCACTTGTGTGGAAGGAACATTGGCTTGTTGAGGCAAGGCCCTATTCGAATAATAATAAAAAAAAACATCTTACACCTTCTTTAATTTTCTTAATTTTTTTATTTCAATGTTAAAACCATACGGAAGAATGGAAGCGTATTACTGTCACTTCAGAAAATACATTTTTGCTAAATATATTGTATAAATGTGATAATTATATTGTATAAACGTGATAGTATATTATATAAACATGATAATATAATTAGCAAATATTTATTTTCTCAATTAATAAAACTGGACTCATGACACTTTGATTTTGGCTCTTCTAGATTTGATTTAGAACAGACTTTGTCCTTTTTTCTCAATTTCTGTAGAGTAAAACCATTAGATCACTAGATTAATAGATCTGTATGAATTATTACCCATGCTTCTGTCGCATATTTGTATGGCATTAAAAAGAGTACCAGCACTTTTTTTTTCACTTAAAGCATTGATCTGATAGATGACAAAGGGAAGCAGTCCATCATGCTGCATTTCAACAAAGTTGTTAGGAATTACAACACTGACAGGAAATGTTTGTCGCAGTTGTAATTTGCTGACGCAGTCCTGTGAATGAAGGGTCACAAACGATACATGAAAGATAAGGCAGGAGACAACAAGCACTGCAAAGTGTATTCATTCCAAACCAATTTCCTTATATTGCCTAAGTCTAAACAAGCCAAAACTTGTTCACTTAAAACTTACATTAGACCTATTTAAAGCTTATTCGCTACAAGGTATAGGCACTCAATACTTGATCTGTTCTGCTTTTGCATGAATTATAAGTGGTGGAGCGTCGCTGTTATTTTTATGAGAATCAGAGGGGCACAAAGGTAGGGATCCATAGACTATGAGATTAAATCTGATTCTTAAAAGAAAACATTTGCAAAGCAGTTTCTAAACTTGGAATTGATATATTTTTTGTATTGAGTAATCTACTGCTACAGTATATTCACATGTTGTAAGTACATGCAGGGCACAAATGAGAAACGATTTGGAAATGCAATTTTCAGTTAATAAACAATGTGATAAAAGAAAAGAAAATCTAAAACACTGTTGGGATTGCATTAACATGTAAATGGGTAGTTGGGTTTTTGGCAGAAATTTTACTCCATACAAGGTAAAGGTAATTTTAACCTACTAAGCAATTAAAAGTCCTTGATAAAAGGCTATACTTGTACAATCCTTTTACCATATTTTAATATGTTATATTGTTTCATTCCCACAATTTCCTATTTGATGCTTTCATATTTTGAGATCTTTTATTTTTTATGTCCTGTCATGATGGGTTTGAGTGATCGACCCCACATGCAGAAAACACACTCAGAGAGCTAGTAAAATTATCAGGTTTATTGGTGAGGGTTACAATGTATAGAGAGAGAGATAGATTTGGGGGTTCTCGGTGATCCTTGGTGATCCTTGGGTCCTGTTTGTGGCGAATTTGTCCAGAGGTTACAGTACTCGTTAGAGTTGGGTCCAGAGGAGCATAGATTCTGTTTTCCATAAAGTCTTGTTTATTTTCTTTAAAATATAATCTTCTGTTACGACATCCTCTGTTGGTTCTACTTTTCAAGCACTACAAAAAGCCATTACCTGATTTTTTGCTGTTAGATTGCAGTTTCTTTAGCTACCTGTGAAAGTTAGGAGTTTTTAATCATCTACTCTAAACCAATCTTGTCTGCAGCTATTTTCCAACCCCCTAAATGCCCTCTTTTTATATCCTTTTCATTCTCCTGAACATCCTTTGGTGAATGACTTTTTTAGCCTCACTGATCTGTCTTCAGCTTCAAGAAATGAGATGCTGTGTTACTTAATCACATCATCGGTCTTTTAAAAAACCTTTAAAACAAACACTCCTGTTGAGCAAGGGCATAACATTAACCCTCCGACCGCTGCATGAATGAACTTTTGTCTCTCTCTGAGCGAGGGAAAACCTTGCTCAGAGAGAGACAAAAGTTAATTCATGGAGACAAAAGTTTTCCTTCCAAGGGAGAAGAAGGACCAGGCTTATCCAGTGAATCAGGAGGGTTTCCTAACAGAGAACATAAAAAGAGACTAAGGCAAAGCTTAGGCTCAGAGAGACTAAGGCAAGAATTAGACTTAGCTAATCTCAGGAGGCTACAGTACCCAATACTGCCAAACACGTCGAGGTGGTGACAGTCCGTAGCTCTTATATTCCTCTGGTAATGACCCAACAAGCCGCAGTTGAGGAGGAAAACCCCGGAAGTTGCCCTCCAAGCCAGAACTGAAGGTGGAAACAAAACACAAAAAAACAAACCCCACAAACAGAAACCTAACATGTCCAAATCTCGTCTTTTCTTTCCTTTCTGCTACATTTTTCAGGTTTCTTCTGTTGCCATATTAACCTAGACAACATATTTCTTCAACCCCTTCTGCCACTCCTGCCCACTTCTGCCTTTCTTTCTTTAGCTTTTGAAAGATGATTCACCTTTCCAGTTTACCCTAACGATACTGCCCATTAACATTCCCACTAAGCGCTGTCAGACTTTCAGTCATTACACAGTCATGGTTATATTGTGACAAACCCCCGTTGACTGTCAGGAGTTAAAAAGGACTGTTATCGTAAATGTGAAATAGATTGCTGTCGAACTGGTGCGTCAAAACCTGCTACAAGGTGAGTTCACGTAAAGATTTACAAAATACAGCTAAGAAAGAATGTTTATCCAGGTTTTATATAGTTAAACTATAAAACTTCTTTATATTTACACACATATGTATATNATATATATATATATATATATATATATATATATATATATATATATATATATATATATATATATATATATATATATAAACTTCGAAATGTTTCTCCATAGGGAGGAACATTTAGGAGACGAACTCTGTCATATTTAAAAATAAATAGAGAAATAAAAAAATGCTCAATATAAAAGCATACATAAGCATATAGTTAATTGCCCCCAAAATATGCATTATGAGGCAGAAATGCATACAGAAATGTAAAAACCACAGGCAGAGATAAATAGTGTTGAAGAATTAAAGAGGGTAAAAAATACAAAGGAACAATAAAGCAGATAAAAAAAATTATATCACGGACAGAAATTAATTCTTAAATGAATAAGTAATAAATAAATAAAGTTGAAGATTATAACAGACAATAAATAAATAACGTAATTATTACAAAGGCGAATAAATAAAGAAGCTTATTAGGAGAGATATATACATTTATGTCTCACTTTATTATTTAATTTCTACCTACATTTATTTGTTTATTGTATTTTTGTGGGGAATTAATTGCTTATGCTTGCTTTTTTACTGAGCATTTATTTATTTCTGTATTTATTTTTAGATATGGCAGAGTTGGTCCTCCATATGTCTCCACACAGCGGTATATGAAATTGAAATACACTATAGGGTGCTGAACGCAGCCAGTTATACAGGTTGAAGTACATACCCAGAAGTAAGAAAGAGAGGATATCTTGTCGCCTGCTACTTTTCTGCAGTTACTGAGAGGTGAGTTTAATACTGATCACTTAAATACCCGGGTGGATTATTGCTGGTGGTTTTTTTTCTCTTTTTTAATGGGAATTGGTTGTACTCGCTGTAATTTCATGCTAAGAATCACAAACTGGGTTTAATTAGATTATCTGACATTTTATGCTTTTTTACACCCTATAGTGGGGTTTGGGTGATGTTGTTCAAAGGAAACTATTTAACTTTTTTTTTTTCTACAGATATTTACTTTGGTTCTGCATTGTACTCAGAGAGCAACTCGTGTGGGAGCCCCTCCCTAACCAGCCTATACGAGCAATATTCACACGGGCACCAAACACGATTTCAAATATATATATATATGCATATTTTATTTGTCATTATATTAATTAAGATCTCCGGGTTATGCTATGAGGCTGAACTCCATAAAACCTCCTGTTGAAATGGCATTTCAAAATCATTAAATGATAATGCAGATTATGTAAGACAATGGATATATGAACAGAGCAATTTGGCTTTTTTTGGGATAGATCTGCCTTGCCTCTTGTTGAATAAGAAGCCTATGCAAAGAAGAATCAAAACATTGCTCTGTGCACAAATCACTTGGAGCACAAAGAATGTAATAGGAAAAAGCAGGATATGCATGAACTCAGTGTAATTATTCTTGGTTATTTTTTATTTGGTATATAATAACCAGGTCACCATTGTGGAAATGTGAAATTCTGTGCTGTGGTTTAAAACTTAATTGTGGGACAGGTGTACTGACCTTATCTTGATCAGGTCAAAGTTCCCATTGACCGAGATGTTACAATCTTTTGTGGAATGTAAACTTGCATAACACTTTACCGAAGCGACCCAAAGTATTTCAGCCGCATTTCTGCAGGTGTGGGAGTTCTTCTGTACTAAAAGCTTCAGAAGGGTTTTGTTTGTTAAGGATCCATGATGCTGTTGGTTCCTCTCTCTTCCTTGAAGCCTTGTTAAAATAAATAGAAAAAAGAACTGTTTTTCTTTTTTGTTTTTTCTATATCAAGAAATAATGACAACCATATGGCTAAACCAACACAGACTGTTAGGTAGGAGCAAGGACCAGGAAGTCATATGCCTCCTAGCTTCAGTGCAGTTTGCAAAGATCCTCCTGACATCCCTAGCTAGGATCTATCCAGTTGCCAGCAATCCTTTGTGTTACAGGACGTACAGCCAGCCTATCCCTCAGAGTTTAACAAAATTACATTATTTTGTGACATATAATGTCTGTGACTCATGAAAATATCCTCACCTTTTTGTGTTTTGGGTTTTATAGAGGAGAGCTTCATCTGTTCTTTAAATTTGTGTAACTTTTGTTTTTGTTTACCAGAATTCAGTCTCCAGACCTGCAATACTATAAAAACCCTATAGGCCTTCATCCCCTAACAGTTTTTTTTTCTCCTTTCTTTAGGAATTTCTGTCAGTGTTAAATTTCAGTACCACAAAAAGTTAAAGTAAAGTTAATCCATATGAATAATTTATTTTAGAGGGTAAAACAGGCCTACGCAACGACCTAAATATTCTTGGTATCATTTTAAATACATATGGTGCTGTCACACCTTGACGATTTAGCCAGCTTATGCTGACGTCCCAGTATCTTCTAAAACGCTGAACCTTCTATGTGTTTTTTCAATTTTGGGTGTATACATAGAGTATTCAAAATAAGTCCGGAATTTATGTCCGACGACAGCCTAACTTATGCATAGAGCAATAGAGATTCAGCGTCATGTCTGCTATGAAGTTAGTTGGTTGTGGTCATGGGCGTGAATGCAGGCATATCCATCTTGGTGACCTTCACACTCACCCTATGATGGGGATGATACAGGTTGGATAAGCTAGACACCATTCCTTATGAGTAACTTACACTTAACGTATGTCAGTGATCAAATAACATACCTGCAACTTATGGCCCACATATGAGAATATGTTGGCATATGTCAAGAAATTTTGAGCTCAAAATTTTTTGACATATTTGCTGTATGTCGACTTTTGCCAGCGCACTTTAGCATGCTCATAACTAATCCAACATATGGCAGCTTTTTTAAAATATTTTTCGTACATTGGCATACACTGGCTAAATTGTTAAGGTGTGACAGTGCCATAAAGGACTAAAATATGAAACTCATTACATTTTAGGAAGCAGTAGAATGAAAGTTAACTTGGATGCTACTTCAACTCTATTCCTTTTTCTTCTCTTCTTCTATCTGACATCTTTGTAGCATCATATATTGCTGTCTCTGCGCCACCGGTTGCAACATAAGAACACAACGGTGGTCATCGAAGCTTAATTGAAGATGTCAATCCTGGTAAAGATATCATCCTGGTGGGACATGATTAAGCCTCAAAATAATACAAAAATCATGGAACAATTGAACATATTATTAAACAGTGAAGACTCCCATGGAAACTAAAGATATTAACTTATAAGAAGCCCTGCAGCGACATTAACCTGACCACATAGTTCATTAATCCCCCCTTAGTTCATTTTTTTTAAGAGTGTATTTTTCGGCCAAGTTGCTGAGTTAACTGCACTCCTGCAGTTCAGTGTGACAGAGTGCAAGCGAAGGACCTAATTTATTTCAGGGTTTCAAATTAAAGCTGTCACAGTGTATTAACACTCATCTGCATTCTCAGTGCTTTTTTCAGTACTACCTTGGGCTCAGCAGGAAAGTCACAAACTTCAATCAGGCAGTTGTTGTGAACAGCATTCAACTTTGCTTACATAGTGCAAAACACCACAGGATGTTGTCACAGTCCCACTGATGTGCAAGAAAAAAAGAGATTTTCTTTGAGATTCCAACAGTTAAACTAACATTTTTTACTCCTAATGATGTCCCAAGGACCAGCCTTCTGAGAGTGAGGGCCTGAGCATTAACCCCTTAATGCTTGTATTTATACCCAGCTGTGTTCTTGCTGTAAATCCGATGTTAGATTAAGTTGAGGTAATTAATTTTAACATTCCACCTATAATTAGCATACATTTAGGTATGAAGCTAATTAGCAAAACTAGGCATCTTGGGAACAACGTGACAATTTTCAGTATAAGTATGTTAATTTAGCAATGCTATTTTGCTCATACAAAACCTGCTATTTTGTCAAAACATTCGTTTTTTGAACAAGCATACAGTATTTTATTTTTTAACTATAGCAATTCTACTTGACCTAATTCTTGGAAAATCAACTCGCTACACAGTGGAGCGTGTCATATTCACTACCTGTTTTGACTACTGACCTACATCAGTTGCCCAGTTGATTTTCCCCCCTCTGTTGGGCACTCTGACCAAAACAAACATGGGCCGAGGGAATTAGAAAGATGCAACTGGCAATTTTAATTGATCTTCTTCATAATAACCACCCAGTTGCCGGTCGTGGCCTGTGTAACTGTAATTTACATAGATTATTTTATAAATAGTATTTTATTAGTCTTTGTAGAATTGTATATAGGCCTAACTTGCAGCAGTCCCATTCGAGCCTAATGGCAATCTTTAGATTAACTTGTTTGACAGCTCTGTGCTGCCGTTGCGCAAAAGACGTCTGCCTCAACAAATCCAAACCCACTCCTTTGCAATGATGAACAGCAATTTCATATGCAAGGCAAACATAAAGATTGAGATTTTTAGTTCATAGGTGATATAGGACACATATAGATTTCCATTATTTATACTATTTCTGTCAGTAAATCACTGTAATTATTACACACTGCACCTTTAGGTTCCCTCCTATATATCCTAAAGATATGCCCCTTTAGACTTTATCTGATGCTCCCTATGTCTAAGATTGCAGTTGCATTTGCCTCCAGGCCAGAGCATGTCCATAAAATGTAAGAGAAATACAAAGTTCAGCTTACGTCTAACAGAATATAAATAACGTTTCTGACATCTATCCCTAACAATCCTGTAAATGTTTACTATAACAAAAGTATAACAAAAGTAGAATGGGAGGCAGATCTTTTAGTTGTCATGCTCCTCCTCTGTGGAACACCCTGTCTACACGGCCAAAAACGGAAATCTAAGTGAGTAATTTTTTCTTAAAATGAGTAAATTTTTTCTCGAATTGAGGATGAAAGTGAGACACTTTGCCACTGGAACAAAACAATTTACATTTGAAATAAGCAAAAACTATTGCATTGTCTTATTTCAAGTTCATATTATATAATTAGCTTATTTTAAGATTTTTTTTAGATTTTCCTCTCCAGTAACCCCAAGCATGTAGATGTTTTCTTCTAAGGTTTCTGTTTTTCTCTATACTGTAAAAGCTTGCTTGTCTAGAGTCTATTTTTTGGAGGATTTTACCTTAATATTTGTTTGAAAAAGTGCTTACTATTACCATAGACATTTTATACGTAGATGCCTCATTGGACGCTGGCTGAAGTACCTGGAGTCAAGTGCCATCTTGGGTCAGACCACATTTCAGACAGCCTTGGATCTCATTTTAATCTTGTTAGAGATCTCCGACTGATCTTTAATATAAGATGAGAAAAATTAATCTCTTAAGTGTCACGTCACAACCACTTAAAAGACATATATACAGGTCCTTCTCAAAATATAAGCGTGATTAAGTTAATTATATTCCATAGTGTAATGACAAAACTTGAACATTCATATATTTTAGATTCATTGCACACTAACAGAAATATTGCAGGTCTTTTTTTGGCATACAGCTCATGAAAACCCCAAATTACTATCTCACATAATTAGCATATTTCATCCAGTCAATAAAAGAAAAGTGTTCTTAATACAAAAAAGTCAACCTTCAAATAATTATGCAGATGTATGCACTCAATACTTGGTCAGGAATCCTTTTGATGAAATGACTGCTTCCAGAGTGTTAGGTCTTGCGTCTCTCAACTTTCTCTTCACAATTTCCCACAGATTCTCTACGGGGTTCAGGTCAGGAGAGTTGGCAGGCCAGTTGAGCACAATGATACCATGGTCAGTAAACCATTTACCAGTGGGTTTGGCACTGTGAGCAGGTGCCAGGTCAGGCTGAAAAATGTAATCTCCATAAAGTTTTTCAGCAGATGGAAGCAAGTGCTCCAAAATCTCCTGATTATATATATATATA